TAACAATTACTTACCCTTCATGACCTTCAAGGCTTATCGTAAACATGGATTACATGATTATCTGTTTTTTTCTTGTTTTTGGGACGAACTTTCAAATGATGTTCTGATTGTGTTCGTTCATAATCAGTTTCGGATATTTCATCTGAATGGTAGTCTTTGCGCTTAATTATTTTTTCAAGGTTATTCTTAAAATCATCCAGATGCATTGTAGGGGCAAGATCTTCAAGATTTTTATCATTGACACTAAGCAAGTGATTAATGCCTCAGAGTCTTCTTAGTTTTTTCTATAATTTAATAGATTAACTATAATTAATATCAGTTTATCGGTAGTTTTATTAACATAATAAAAGTATTATTAGCCTATTCAATAAAACTACTGAAAATTGTAACTTATATAATTTATATTATATTTAGTTACTATAGTTTGATTTCATGTAAAGGAATAGATCCATACTTACCGATTAACGTCTTCCATTTACACCTTTTCTTTTTTTATCGACACTGATCTTACTGGATTTGAATTGATTCTCCATTTTTCTCATTGATGTCGGTGAAGATTTTGGAGAACATACTTTAATTCACTAAACTTAAACCTAAAATTACCCTCCAAAGCCTTCCCGATTGCAGGCATAGTATGCTTAGATACGTGACAAGATATTTTACTCCATTTTTTTGCGCAATCCAAGCATAAGTTATCATCAAGGCCGTACAAAATTTGAAGTACCTCATCCTACACATAAAAGAAATATTCAGTAAACCGATAGCTCTATCATTACTTTAAATATATGTACCAACAAGTGAATACTATTCTATTTTCACTTGGCAATATTCATACATCTACATGAAACAGTTTATACTGATCTTCGTCCATGTCTTCCAACTTCTCACGTAGCCTTCTGAGATAACCACCAGATAGTTCAGGAGAAACCGATGGTTTTTGCTGATTATTTTCATTGTCTTTCTGTCTCTGTTTTCCTTTGTTTCATTTGTTGCTTGTGGTGTTGGTATCGGTTTCGGCGGTGGAGGTGTTGGTACCAGCATCGTTGGTTGTGGCATTAGCATTTGTTTTGTTGGTGCTGGAGGGGTGAATATTGTTCATTTCATTCTCCAGGTCTATTATACCACAATTATTTAACGGTTGCGAAAGACCAGTAGTACCAATGGTATCAACTCCTTCATCGCTTATATAATTATCGGCATTACCATAATAATATTGGTCACTTGGTGTAAGTGGTGCGGTTGGTGTAGGGGGTGCGGTTGGTGTAGAGAGTCGGGATGTCTTTTTTAACTCTCTTACTTCGTTTATTAAAGAATGGAATGCTTGCTTCAAGAATCTTATATCTAATATGTATAAGATGTATCATTAGACCTATCCATTTCTCAATATCTCTATAAAAAATAATGTGCTCAATTTCCTATATTCTTATTTTACTCGCTTCATTTTTATCTGCCGATTTGGAACGGCAATTAGGACGTTTATTACTTTTATCGACGGGTGGGGTCACTGATCTGGATTTTCTTTTACAGCGTCTATTGTCTCGATCGGACATTGGGGACCTTGACCTGGATCTTCTATCATGGCTTTTATTATGTCAATTGTTTCGATTATTGGATGTGTCGGTTGTTGGGGACCTTGATCTAGACCTTCTATTGCAGCTTTCATTACATCGATTGTTTCGATTATTCAATGATGGGATTTTACAGAACGATTACTGCTTTGGCTTGAACGATAACTACAACGAGATGACATGGAGGGCGAAATAGACCTGCGACGTGGTACAATATTTATTTTATAAGACTTTCTACCCCGCATTTTTCAAGTGTAAAAAAACAAAAATGTCAAAATTTGAAAACAAAAATGTGAAAAATGGTTTTTTAGTAGTATCGAAAGTTCGGTAGTTTTATTTTAAGAAAGTAAAAAGTAAAAAACGTTCCTTTTATAAGAATTTACCTTAGACTAAAAAGTAATACTGTATATCTAATTATCAAATGACGATACTATAGTTATTACTAAATAAAATATAAGCAAAGCGAAAGTATGTAACTTAAGTAATAGTATAGTATATTACCAACACGAAAAGTAAAATCTGCTAACGTGTGCTTAAAAGTATGATATATGATATGAAACGAAAGAGTTAAAAAGTTATCGTAAGCACAAAAAAGAGAACGTGGCTTATTTATAGATTCTTATTTTCGGATGCGGATAAATATATAAATGTCATCTTAGTTAAAATCGAATTTAATCGGACTTGCATAATATTGCATGATCTATTAGAAATTAAAGTGTATATTATGCAGGTTACATTAAAAAAAACCCGATCATTATATCTTAATACGGATAGCTTTATTTTTTATCTGATTATAATATTTATATACAATACACTAAAACAATTAATTACGAATAAGACAATACAATAAAAATATTAATCACAAATAATTTTTAAAAAAAAGAATTTATTGATTAAACAATAATGATATAGCTATTTTTTGGGTCTTTAAAATTAAAAGAAAGGCCTATCGGGATGACGATATTTTTAACAGATTTAAGAAGCTGATTAAGTCTAGGATATCTTTATTTTTTATCTAATTATAATATTTATATACAAACAATTAATTATGAATTAGACAATACATTATAAATATTAATTACAAATAGTTTTATTGAGTTTAAAGGAAACGAATTTATTGATTAAACGATGATACAGCTAATTTTTGCGTCGTTAAAATTAAAAGAAAGGCCTATCAGGATGATGATATTTTTAATAGATTTAAGAAGCCAACGTCTGATTATCAAAACAAAAAGTTTAATAATTTAAAAATCATGCGACAATAGCTTTCAGTGTCTTTTAGAAAAATCAGTATACTGATTAGTAGTGTAATTTCAAAATAAAAAAGTATAATTGCCAAAAAAAAAGTTTATTTGTAAAACGAAGAGTTTAAAGATCATTCGATAATAATCTTTAGTAGTCCGTTAGGCATATCGGCATACTGATAAGTGATTATCTAAATAAAAAATAGTTGCTAAAACAAAATGTATAATGGTCAAAATCAAAAGTTTAATTGTCTAAACAAAGATTTTAACGCGATAATAGCTTTTAGCATATCGGCATACTGATATGTCTGTTAATAATTTGAATTGTATATAAATAAGACTTACCTTCAATAAACAGAATCTATCATTCTTGTTCTTTTCGCTCTCGCTCATATATTCTCTTACTCATTATTTTCATTTGCCTATAACTCTTTCGCTCATATATTCTCACATTTATATATTTTCATTCTTTCATCATATATTCTCTCGCTCATATATTTTCGCTTGTTCATAATTTTTCCTCACATCATAATAGGTTATCAAAAGAAAACTTTTGTTAAAAAAGCTATTGCAAAAACAAATTATCCCAACTACTCAACAACCCGCTTCCTTAAAGCTTGCGATTGCATTAATTGTAATGGTAAACTTGTTGATCCACATACTAGGAAAGCCCATATGATAAAAAAGAACATTACTGGCATAACAAGAAATTATCGTGATGCGGGTGAAACATCAAGTAGAGCAACTGTTACCTCTACAAATGTGCTTCCAGAAATAGACATTCCTGAAGACCTTTCGTTAATGGATATTTATGAAGAACCAATGCAGATTGATAGCTCAGACAATGATTCTGCCATTTCTAATGATTCTTCCATTTCTTCATATCAAAATGATTTTAGTTTCATTACTAAAAAAGCTAAAAAAGGCAAGAAACCGGTTGGAAATGGAGAAAGGAGGAGCTCACAAAATATTACTTTCGTAGAGAATTTATTCTCTGACGAAGAAGAAAATGTTGTTGAAGACCTATCAGATGTTGAAGACAAAGAATTATCAGATCAAGATATTGACTTTAACGCACCAGAAAATCTTATAAATGAAACGGAACAGCCTATCGGTCCTATAGATGTCCTTAAAGGTTTTCTGTGGATTATTTTGTGGATCCTAAAATTCTAAGTAAGGTACAAGTTACCTGATACGGCAACCGAATCATTAGTGCAATTTATCCGGTATCTCTTAATTCTTCATGATGAAAATACATACTCCTCCTCTCCTTCAACATTGAATATAGCATGTAAAAATCTCGGCGTCTGTGCCCATATGATTAAATATGCAACATGTGAACAATGTTGCAAACTATATAATACAGCCGATGTGTCAACCGAAAAAGCAAATATGGCTCCTAAAGTTACCCAATGCACCTTCCAAGAATTTCTGAATCACCCAATGGCCAATTATAGATGCCCCTGCAATTATCATGTTGCAAAAAAAGTGCCTGTAACTAAAGGAGTCATATATAGACTATCGTTAATCTATCCAACGGTTTCTTTAAAACACCAATTTCAATTGTTGTTCAACCGGAAAGAATTCGAAGCATCATGTAGAAAATGGGCAGAAAGGATTGATGATCCAAACTGACTTTCTGACATATATGATAGTAGAATTTGGAAAACTTTTCAAGATCTTTGAGAAGATCTACCTTACTTCCAGAAAGAGCTATCGGATAGTAATTTGGGTCTGATGATTAATCTTGATTGGTTCCAACCCTATAATAGCTCACATTATAGTGTTAGAGCAATCTATGGAGTCATTTGTAACCTTCCACGTGATGAGCGATTTAAACCATCGAACATATTAACATTGGCACTAATACCCGGACCCAACGAACCTAAATTACACCAACTAAATCATTATTTGGCACCCTTAATAGATCAATTAGTCGACTTGTGGAATGATAAAAATTTTATATTAAATTTATATATTTATTAAATATTTATTATTATAATTAACATAATAAATTTAGATGTTGAATTAGCAAATACACATGAAAGCTCTACTAGCAAATTTATCAGAGCCGCAGTTATTTGTTGTTCTTGTGACATCCCCGCCGCAAGAAAATTATGTGGACATATATCAGCCTGGATTGCTTATCATCAGTGCCTAAAACGGGCCAATTTTGATGAAAGGAATCAGCCCAACTTTGGTGGATTTGCCGATATGAGTCAATGGTTCGTTGAAAGAGATATTGAGGAAATTCGTCAAAACACCATCACGTGGAAGGATTGTAATACTGAAGATGCAAGGAGAAGTATGTATCGGAAACATTAGTCCAATGGTCAGAAATTTACTGTCTTCCATACTTTAATTCTGTTCGGTTTCTTTTAATAGATTCTATGCATTGACTATTTTTAGGCATTGCTAAATGGATCGTTAAATTATGGATTGATGAAGAAATTCTAACGTCGAATGATCTTGCCCTAATAGAAAATCGGGCTAAAAAAATAATGGTGCCAACAGACATCGGCAAGATCCCGTACAAAATTGCAATAGGTGAAGGTTTTTCTGAGTTTACTGCGGATCAATGGAAGGCTTTCATCCTGGTGTATGCAACGTCGATTACTTGTGACTTAATATGTGAGGATGACCGATGAATTCTTACTTATTTTGTTCATGCATGTTCTATTCTGATATTCCGAATTGTGTCCAAGGATGGTTTAGAAGAGGCTCACCAATCTTTTCTTAAAATGGTGAAACATTAAAAAAAAATATGGGCCTGAAAAAATAACGCCTAATTTACATCTATGTTTACATATATATGAATGTCTTATAGACTACGGGCCATTGTATGCATTTTGGTGCTTCAGTTACGAAAAGATGAATGGTTTATTAGGTAAGTTGAATTTCACGGCTATTATCATTATTTCCAAGACACCCAAAGAATTTTCAGATGATCAAAATATCCTCTGTTTCAATCGGTAAATTAACTAGCTCTCCTGAAATTACTTCGCTATCTTCAGACTCAGTCCGAATATAGCGAAGTAATTTTAGGAGAGCTAGTTAATTTACCGATTGAAACAGAAGATATTTCGATCATCCGAAAATTCTTCCTCAATAGTTATATTAACTAGCCGATAACTTAATAAAAATTATGATACATTAACAGGGTCATTTAACAGCAGTAATAGAAGGATTGAACCTGAACTGCTTAAAATTATGCAATATTGCGCTCTATTGGATGAGCTATCGTCACATGCCGAAGGCTATTTACAAGCTTGTTTACAGTTCATTGAGCAAAAAACAATGAACAGCAGTCTTGCCATTTATGATGGAAATGACTGCCGGGAGTTTCTCTCAATGTTTGTAAATATTGAAGAAAAATCTGGCACAGGCTTTGAACCATTCCCGAGTGAATTATTAGGACCAATGAAGGAACGGCAAAAACTTCCAAAAGAAATATCGGCATTGCTAAAGAAGTATTATAATAATGCATATAATTATAACTTCGTTTCTTTAGCTAAAATTAATATAGGTAATTTGGAAGCTATACTGGTATTACCCACTATAACTATTCATGGAAGGATAAAGATTGGTGACGAAGTTTTTGGGTCTACTTACTCGAAGAGACAGCCAAAATACTCGCTAAGTTCATATTAGAAGACAATTCAACTGATATATATCCGGGCATTGTACAGTATTATTTTAAACACAAAATACAACTACCGGAAGGTCCAAAGGAGCACGTACTAGCATTTGTCAGATAGTACCGTGCTGTTAATGACTGAAAGACAAGATTTCATTGTCAAATTGATGACATTTGTAACGTTGAATTATGGAATAAAGATTTCTATAGTTTAAGTAGGGATTGCATAATTCCAGTGTATAATATTTTAGGTCAGTTTATTTCGGAAACAGTTAAAGTCAGAAAAAAATCACTGAAAGAATATATATCAGTTATCCCTGTTAATAGAAAATTTCATATATAAAATTATAAAAAATATGATACCTTTTCCAATATTGTTTCATAGCAATTAAATTTATTGATGTTTATAAGTACAATATCAGGCAACTTTCGAATTAACGATAGAACTATCGGTAGTATTGATACCTTACCGATATTGTTTAATTGCAATTAAATTTATTGATGCTTATAAGTACAATACCAGGCAACTTTCGAATCACTGATATAACTATCGGTATCCACCGATTTATTTCTGATTAATTTCTCTTACCTATAGCGTCATTTTGTTATATTTTGATCTTTTGATATGAATATCGTATCTTGCTATATTTGCCCGATTTATCTTTACTAATATCAGATCCATATCAGGATCCTGATATGGATCTGATATTTCCACGGCTATACATATCCCGATATGTCTTCATTCGACCTGTAGAACATGCTGTAGAGTGAGAAAGAGGGTTAAAAAGACAAAGAAAGGATACCCTTTCTACGTCTGAAAGTATTTCCTTGTTAACTAACATTATCTTTGAAAGAGAAATTTTAGGAAACGATCTACCTATTGTTTCATTTTCTAAGCTTCGATCTATTGCTGAAAGCAAGAATGATCAATTAAATTTTTTTTTCGATGAAATCGAAGCGATGGCTCGCTTGGGAGGAAAAAGTGATGCTGAACAAAAAGCACTTGATCGGTCTTTAGCATTTCAATGTTATTTGATGTGCTAGAACCAAAGCATGGTTATACCGCTTTGGAATTTAAAAGATGAAGTGGCAGAAAGTGATAACAATCTTACGTGGACAACAAGCGTTAATGTTCTAACAAAGTTTCTATACGATCGAGAAAAGAATGAAGAAAAACCAGCAATTTACAGTTTCAAACAGATGCGTAGGGAGATGGTATCTAAGGATTTTAGGCTAAGTAGTTTTTTTGATTCAATTTATAATGCATCTCTTCCTAAAAATAGATGCGATAAGGATTTAGATAATTTGGATAAAAAATTAGCAGTAGAGTGTTATATTATTTGCAGCAACCAAAATTCCAAACTAACTGCATTTAAAAAAAGATGTGTCTCTTTTTGTAGATTTGATAGGGGTTTCCACGGAAGCTATAGATGCTTTATCGCATACTGGTATAACAATTTTATGAAGGCATCTGGATAGAGAAAAGACAGCTATTGCTGATAATCATCCACATAGGGTTGCTTCATATCTAGAAATTAAAAAAATAATACATTAGTTTTTAACGTCAATGATTATTATAATATTCATACCAAATGAATCCTGGATACATATTCAACATCAAGTATAGCGCATATGACAACCTTGTTATTAAATGGTGTTGATTCAAATGTTATTCCATGGATCGCACCAAATAGTATATCAGTTCACAATCCGAATTTAGTTGATTCTAACCTTATTTGCAATTTTTTAGACACCTATTATATGAGATGAATGTCTAAAACATTTAATGATCAGTTTTATCATGAGGTACCTTTGGACAGGAGACTTGAAAATATGACTCTTCACAAATACGATTCTTGTATACAAGAACAGCGGAAAGAGCGCAAAATGAAAGACATGATTCTCTTGGATTTTTTTGAACTTAGTCTTAAAGGAATAGATTCGTATATTAAGGCTTTACAAGAAGTTCATAAAATTTCTTTATTAACTAATTATTTGACTAACCATGTTATTCCAATTGTAGCTGATTGGCCTGGGCAGGTATTTACACGTCAAGCAATTACTCTTCGTTTATTAAACCGTGAAGATGATATACCGAACAGCATATTATCTTTCATTCCAATTATCGGCGTCCTTCATATTCAGCTAAATCTACTCGAGTCTATACTAAAAACTTATTGGAACTTTTTCAATATGGAATACCAATATATTTTTAGTACAAGTAAAGCACTTAGCAAGACACCAAGCCCATATCGAATATTTGTACTTCTTGAGCTAGTAAGAAGTGCTTGGAAGAAAATTAAGCCGATAGTAACAGATAAGTTCAGAAAATATTGTAAGAATGTTGAATTCTTATTTCTATTTGAATTATTAGACAATACAGTACCGGTCAGATTAGATATATATTCAACTTTATTTCGGTCTGAAGATTGGGAATTATACATCGAAGGCGTATTTCGGGCATGATGCATTTTTTTACGGTTTGAAAGGCGTAATTACAATAAAGCGCCTTTAGTTTTTCTTTCTGATATATTTTATTGGTGTCAAAACAATCATCCTATATTAAATGTATTAGAAAATCATTTAGTTAAGTTCACAGATTATCTCGTTGAAAATATGCATAGCATAATATGACGACAGAGCTCCTTTACCGATACTTCACAACAGCTTTCCGAGATCGCCAAGGTCGTTAGTGCCAGAAAGGATATTGTTGCATTTGAAGACGCATTTGTGGTTCAGAAAAAGTCTACGTATGCGGATGAAAATAATTTAGCCTTATTAACAAAAAAGGCGGAAGTATTTCTTCTGGAAATTTTTGGTAATGTTTACCGAAAATTAGGTCAAAGCTCTATTATTGAAGACCAGGAAAAAAAATTTACTTACAAACTAGCGTCGTTGAATCTTGTCGTGGACAAAAAGCAAATGCCTTTAGGGTTCGGCAGTGAGCATTTGCCATCATACGACAAATGTGATCATTGTTATGAATTATTATATGACGGGACAGGTAAAAGCTCCATGGTTATTGCATACGGTCATGGATACCATGAGAGCTGTTTCACTATGTTGAATAGGAAATGTTGTTATTGTGAAAGTATTCTTAAATTAGGTATAAAAAATAACATCTTTTCTTTACTTTCACGGTTAAGTAAATTAGATAAATCGAAGTCGAATCTTAAAGAGATTGTTGAAGCCGATGAAGATAGTCCACAAGACCAGAGGATAGAAAACGAAGATGATATATTGGAAGTACTTCAGAAAGATAAGCAAGCGTTGTCAAGGGTGGAGCAAGCTTATCTTGCAGCTCTTGAAAAGTTTTTGAATACTAATATTGTGAATATTTAGCATTAATATTTTTCAATGTAATTTCATATTAAATAATTTATTATTCAATAAAAAAATATTTTACATGATACTAATCAATATTTGAAATAAGATATATTATTATTTTATTTTATTTTTTTTTTAAAAAAATAAATCAATACATAGTGTCAAATTACATAATTACTACATAATTTTTTGCTTGTAATTAATTGTTCATCACAAAAATAAATTTTATCATGTGTGATTATTGTACGCCATCTAACCATCTTGCCAAAACCTTTACACCACCATTTTTTGAATATTAAAAATCCATTCGATTACATTTTCAATATTGTTCCCTTCCGTTAGTCTATTATAAGCATCACGCTATTTTTTTCAAGATAACGAATGTTAAAAACGTTTAAGTCAGAATAAAAAAACCATCAGTTTTGATTAAAGAAATGATCTGTCCCTTCGCGTCAACATTATGAACTGTACATGCCAAAAAAGATATTTTATATGATAAATCTCTAGCACCAAAAAACTTTAGACCCGTGACTCCAGCATTAGCTAATCCATTAGCTCCCTTGAAACGACTATTACGAATATCACGCTGAACTTCAATTCCAACACCTGAAAATAAATATATGCAAATATTAAACAAAAAATTTCTTTATTGAACATCTAATAAGATTATGTGATTATAGCATACCTAGAACTCCTAATTGATGGATACCTGGAATAACTTCAAGACTTTTATATCATTTAATGATAA